CAGTATTAGTATCAGTAGTAGTAGTAGTAGTAGTACCAGTTGTAGTAATATCATATAATATTCGATTTTGAACCCATTTTGTTTTATAAGTGCAAGTGATTTAATGTATAGTACAATAGATCTTTCTGCTTTCTGATGGAATGAAACTCGTACCCCTCTTTTTGTTTGTCTATACTCAAAACTAATATATTTCGCTTTTGTTTAAAGGTACTTGGAGTTAAATGCGATACATGAATTCAATGAGGGGTGTTTTAAAGACCTAAGACGTATCAAGTCCATGTAAGTGACATCAGGTATACATGAATATCAAGAATTGTTACGCTTTGACGCAGTGATTATTTTGATATACCAAATTAATATATATATATATATATATATATATATATATTGGAAAACTGGATTTTTGTGGAGGATTTAATTCATTTACTAGCTCTATTCGGGTTATATTTCGCGTGAAATACTATTGCTTCATCAAGTCATGAATAACCTTAAGAAAATAATTGCACCACATCACAATGCCATCTTATTTACACTGAATTACTAAGTATGTTTAATAATGCACTTAATACTACACTCATTAGCCGACATAATACGTTAATCAAAGTGGAATCTGTGCAGTAACATTTCGGCGCTTTAGATAAACTCCAAGTTTAAAGCTTCGGTATTGATAGTATTTCGTAGTATTTAATAGATGAAAACACATCCATCTACGTATATATGATAATCTTTACAACGTTTTGTATATAATTCAACAATTTCTTTGATGTAGTTCCACGGCAACATGTTTTTAGATACATGGCATATTTTTTTCTCCCAAGGACTTCGATCAAAATTCGGAGCCTGTCCATTTAATCTGAACCTTGGATGATTTTTCTTTCTTTTTAAAATACTTTCACTGTTGCTCTTTTCATGCAGAGACCTAGAAAACAACACAATAACCCATATCAGATCTGGGGCTTTCCAAGACGTAGGCCAAACACTAGAACGATAGTGAGTTTTTTTTCTTTCTTCATATTCTACTTTTCTTCGTCTGTCAACTTTCTCTCTTTTTTTCTTAACCTCTTAATCTCTTGTTCAAGATCACCTTCATCATTTTGGGTCAATGAAATCATGGAAATGCCAGTCAGGATATTGAGAGCGATCGATTTTTGGGTTGTCGTACTCTATTGTGGTAGGTATCAAATCTGCTTACGGATCACGCTTTAAAGCGCAGTCCTGGAAACAGCATAGGCATATTATGTCGTCCACTTAGGGCCAGAAAGGAATAAGGTTTATGTGATGTGTGGGTTGTTAACACCCTTCCGGCTCTCAAAAGATTATATTCATATGTTCATCCATCTGAATGGTTATTCTCTCTTTAACACTCTTGCTCTTTGTAGGAGCATCGGCGATAAAACTGTTTTGAGCAGATCACGATTCGTTTCAAGGACATTTATACCCCTTCTCGACCTTTTTTTTCCACTATTCATGGTGTTTTGTTTAACAAAATGCCTTTATTCACATGCACTCTTTATAAATGTTAGTCTCCACTGCTTGGGTATAGAATCCTAAAAATCGGCTTTAAAGTTCTTCTCCATTCATCAAGCTGTGTTGATTCCTTAAAGGCATTGTTTAACAATTTGTCTAGTTTTACAAATCTGGAGATGCATGGCCCTATGGCGTGTTATCAATGTCTGTGATTATGGTGTAATATTAGAGCCCCAACAAATTGATCAAGAAGTGCCTCAAGAGAGAACAAATCTTTGAGTGACCGGTTTTATCATACCAATATGTTTTTTAAAGTAATTAAAAATGAATAATACATGTAGCCTTGCTACCACAATATTATAAGACCAGTACCAAGTTCTTAATGTTAGGTGTTTTTTCTTCATTGTTTGAGATACTGTAAGAGATCTGTTAAAGAAATCAAAGAAAATTCTTAATTCAACGAATTTTGATTTGTTTTCTTTCTTCTCTGTCTTTTTGTCTCTCTTTGCCCCCCCCCCCTCTCTCTCTCTCTCTCTCTCTCTATCCCTAACTCCACATCATCTTCCTCTTCCTCTCTCTCTCTCCCTCTCTTTCTTTCTCTCTCTCTCTCTCTCTCTCTCTCTCTTTCTATCTTTTTTCTCCCCTCCCCCCTCTCTCTCTCTCTTCCTCTCCCCTTTCTCATCCCCTTCCTCTGTCTCTAACTCTTTCACGACTGTCTTTCTCTGTAACCTTGACTTCAAATTCACCTCAATGTCACTCTTTGTCTCTATGACCCGTTGTCCATACGTCAAACTCAAGCCTGCTGCATGGAAACCTGATGACTTCAATCAATTCTTCGATGTTTATCGGTTTGACAAACGTCCAAAGAATGTAAGTAGATTTTTAGAAATAATAATAATAAACAATACACGACCCTGAATGCAACCTCATCGGTCATGTCAAGTTTAATTTTAAGCTGTAGCTTCCTTGTATTCATTTGGCATTTATCGCCTTTCATTCATAAAATCTTATCGTCTATTACATGCATTATTAAAACCATTTATAGTTGTATCTCAATCAAACCAATCATTTTAATGGTCAGGACATTGTACTGAAGATGGTGACAAAGAAACCAAGACATCAAACTCAATGAGCTGAACGTAATAACATCCTCAATAGCTTTTTCTTTTATTTAAGCATGATGATAATTTGACAACATCTACCCGTCCAATAATCATTAATCCTTATGTTGTCATATCCTTTGGGTCAATCTTTTTCATTTTACTATTAAAAAAGGAGATGGAGAAAACAATATTTGATACCTCTTCATGATTGGCAGGCACATAATGGATGTATACGCATTGTTGATCAAGGTCGAATAGTCAAAGGTTTCCTTATTTTTCTTCCTTTTTTCGTCATGCTTTTCATTTCATTTCTTTAAGTTTTCTAATGTTTTTAATAGAAATTTGTCCGAAAGATTTTCCAATGTCAAGCATTGTTTTGTGTTTTAAATAATATAGTCGTCATCGATAAATGTCTTGTGTCAATTTTGATTAGTTCAGAATGGCGGATAAACTTCCTTCCAAGCTTGATTGTGTCCTTGAATTCAACAAAATATATTACTATAAATAAATTGTGCCAAAGATCGGCCAAAGTCGTTTATTAAAGAAGGATAAAGATATCCGGCCAGATAAATAAGCCCGATGTATATTGTCCTCTTATAGTTTTCAAAACTTATATCAGAACTGATTATAAATATGATCTATAAGGAAAAATTATAAAGTGTTTGGCATCATCTGTGCAGAGGGAGGGGGAAATCGAACTTGATCGCTTAACCCTCGGGTCTCTCCTCCCGACATACCTGATTCGGATGTGCAGGTTAGACCACTACACCAGGGTTTCCCCCTACTAATATGAGAAAAGTGCAGTGGGATCTTAACGAGTAAAGGTGGAGAAATCTAGTGCTGGGCCTCCATTAAACGTCCTGTCCTATCCGAGGGACGGAGAGTTTTCCACTGTACGAAACAGGGGATGGGCACGTTAACACATGTTAACACATTCATCCACCTTGCTTGGATTTGAACCCACGATCGATGTTCGACGGGCAGACGCATTACCGACTGAGCCAAAGCGCCTCCTCAAATGAATGCACCTACAAGATATACATATCTTTTTAGTCTACGGCCTTGACCAACACTGCCGGGGTGCATTACCTTATAAGTATAACCCCACTCCCATCCTACCTATATTTAAAAAGAAGTCTACATCATTGGGCTCGTTAAAGGGACAGTAGCAACCAGTTCTACCCTCTCTCCTCCTGGTTGCTGTGTTGCCCGACCTTGAGTACACAACACAAAACCCCCCTTTAATTTAGCAATTTTCAGAATCGTACACCCTCCCTTTAGAGAGCCCTTAAGCCACCCCAGTTGTACATTTCCAGGTAGTTTAATATTCTATTTTCTACTTTACACAGCAATTTTAACAACAATCAACTCAAGTACATTGAACCCGGAGCTTTCCAGAACTTATCTACGGTATCTGACTTGTGAGTTTGATGCCATATTTATGATGAAATATATATATTTTTAAAAAGTTCTACAATGTGTACAATCGCTATTTCTCATTGTAAATGTAAACATTTTTTCCCCAAAACCAAAAGAAAAAAAAGAAGAAGTTGTTTCATTGAATTGAAATAATACAAAGCATCGGTTCAAGCAGGAACAAAGTTACCTTTAATTCCATGTTTAAATCAAGAGCCTTATTTTCGTACGGTCATTTTCGGTAAAGTATGCGTGTGTGCGTGTTGGTGTGTGTGCGTATAGTATTAATGTGTGCGTGCTCGGAGCATATCAGATACTAAGCCCATCAGTGGCTCGCCCCAATTCTCACCAACACTCTCTACCACTTACTCTTTAAGGTGTCTCTTTAAATTCAACATTAATTTTGTCATTTGTATTCCAGAATCATTTCATCGCTGAATAATGAACCTTACCTCCTTTACCCCGGTATATTCGATGGTCTGGATTCCCTGAAGGCTTTGTAAGTAGTTTCGCTTCTTGAAATGTATTGCTGTTGCTGTTGGTAAATAAATCAAAATCAAATCAAGTAACGTAGTGTTTTGCTATCATGAAACGTAGGTGTTAGTGGTAAAAACAGTATTGTTCGGCAACCTTACTTGTCATTTGAGTAGACGTCTTAAATCGGGGATGTCAAAAACTCTGATCCCGCTTTCGTTGACTTTCAGAATAGTGAAACGGACCACTTTATTCTACTTTTATCACGCACAAAGTGTCTAGGAATTATTACACATTATACAGATAGGTCTACACCGAACAGTTTGGTATTCCCTGGATTCAGTTCCGGGCAAAGCCAATTATTAAGATTTTAAACCAGATAGTTTCACTGGGAAAGGCATTTGGTTTACCAAGCAAGAGGGATTACCTTTTTACCATCCACGTGAAATCAGTTTGTATATATACTGTACATTCACGTCACTATCTACAAAAAAAAAGTTATAGTAGTAGATCGATATGTTATGAAGATTGAACCAGCTGATGATTTTCTCTTACATCACCTTAATTCATAGATACGTGTATGACCAACGTTTGTGTTGCTTGTTACCCGAGCAAGCAACCTGCGTTGTTCAGGAACCTCCTCATCCTCTCTTCACATGCCGTAAGACGTTTCTCCAGAACACTACGATCAAGGTCTTCATCTGGATCCTTGGTTTGAGCGCCCTCTGCGGTAACTTCTTTGTCATCACCTTGAGGATCAGGAGCGCTCCCATGACAACGGTTGCTAAGATACAGTCCATGTTCATCACCAACCTAGCAGTGTCCGACTTCTTAATGGGCGTTTACATGCTGTTGATAGCAGTCATGGACATCTACATCGGAGACTCCTATTTCTGGGAAGGTCGGGCCGATGAGTGGCGCTCCAGTGTTACTTGCCAGATTGCAGGGTTCCTATCTGTCCTGAGCAGCGAAGCATCGGTCTTTCTTTTGACCTTGATAACAGCTGATCGTTTCATCTCTATCATGTTCCCCTTCAGCCGCCATCGTCTAAGCATCGCATCTGCTCGCCTCGCTCTGGCTGCCATCTGGATAGTCGCCCTTTTTCTCAGTCTAATCGGTGTATTGTTGATAACCATCCACCCCGATGCCTACGGCCTCAGTGATGTCTGCGTTGGTCTCCCATTCATTAGGAAATCGACGGATATCTCCACTGAGATTGACCAGCGTTCGTCTGCTCAGTACAACACGGTGATCTACAACGTTGCCTCTGGATCCACCGTCTCAACATGGCAGTACTCCATCGTCCTGTACCTTGGTGTCAACCTGGTGAGCTTTGTCATCATCCTCCTCTCCTATATCGTCATCTTCATCAAGATACGACTGGATCAAGCCGAGGTCGGACGGAAGTCTGAAGCAGCCATGGAGATCAAGATGGCTCTGAAGATGTTCCTGATCGTCGGCACCGACTTCTGCTGTTGGATGCCCATCATCATCCTCGGCGTCCTAGTCCAGACGGTCGGGGTCGATGTCACACCCGACATCTACGCTTGGTTGGTGGTGTTCGTCCTGCCCATTAACTCATCTCTGAACCCATATCTGTACACCATCATCCACATGTCGTCAAAGAAGCCTGTAAATGAGAAGAGCAAGCAAACCATTGTCAGCATGGTTAGTCGGGATAAGGATTAATTAGAAGGCAGTCATTCTTTCACCGCAGGCCGATGTACCATCACGTAAGAAGATAGTCTTGGAGAGGACATCTTGACCCAGCCATGGCGATTTAAAGACAGGCCCTCACTCCACTTTGTTCAGGGTTGCAGTTTCTCACTTTCACATTGATCAGCATTTAGAATAGTCAAACAAAACGTAAAACAATGGATTGAAATAAACGTCAGATAATATTTTTCAATTTTATTTATAAAATTACAAACAAACCAGTATTTTTCTTTCTCTTTTAGGAATACTTTGTTTTATCAATATTTAGTAGTTTTAAATAAATATGCCATTTTAGTTTTACATTTGTGTAGTTTGATATCCTGTTGTCGTCTGATGACTTGAATCAGACTATTTGAGTCAGCTTTGACCGTTTATTTTACCTTTGGAAAAGAAATAGTAGAATAAATACAGTTGAAACTTGATCGATATTCTGTAGAAATGGAGAGTTTCACTGAAAACCAGAGCTTCTGAATTGTGGAACCGTCAATTCACGTTTAATTTTTCAATTCAAATAATGTGATTTCAATAACTCAATCAAAACATGAAATAATGCTTACATAGTGCTTACATGACGTTTGCAATTTAATATAATAAATTGTATTTATTTCTAATTATACAATATCAAATTTTGATAAGTAGTCAAAGCATTTTAGGATACAAAATGTATAAGCATAATATTATCATAAATTAAGTCGAAATTCAAAAGAAATTTGAGAGATCCACTAAAAAGCAGAGCTTTTTGGATTACTCAAAAAGGAAAAAATAAGGAAGAAAGAAAGAAAGAAAGATGAAGAAAATACAAACATGCACAGCTCGGGAGTATTAGCATTCATAGGCATAAGAAAAACACAGTAGAGCAATACATGCCTTAAAAGGATGTCACACGTAGCAGTCCACTATGGCGACGTGCAAATTTTAAAAGTCCATATTGTCTCGATTTTTCGTCGTCCCGCCTGGCATCATCGTGTTTAATTTTCTAATTATCAGCCTTGAAAATTATGGAGTCCTCGACTATGGTGGCCCTGAAGGGAAATCGCGAATAGACGAAATCGCGAATTATTCACGACGAAATTCACGAAATTCACGATATCGTCAATTTCGTCGTGAAAAATTTGCGATAAAATTCACGACGTCGCCAATTTCGTCGTGAATAATTCGCAATTTCGTATATTCGCGATGTCCCTTCAGGGCCACCATACTCGACCGCTCGTAGGGGTTGGAACATAGTCCACTATATCGACGTGCATATCCAAAAGTCTCCAATGACAAGGACATGAACACGGACAGGAAAAACGAAAAGGGCAAAAACAAAAACAAGGACTAGGAAAAGGGCAAAGACAATAATGGGAGGGAGACGAATGTTGAGGAGAGAGAACAAAAGAACACGAAGGATGAAATCACTATGAACATGACGGACAAAGAAAGAGGAAAAATATACAGTTCCTCAGGTAGACCAAAGAGATAATATCCTCCTCCTTGGGTAGACAAAGGAACATCTCTTCCCTGCTATTATGTAAAAATGTATAGAACAGGTGTCACATGCATATTCACCTGTTCTACACATTTTTACATAAAAGCAGTGAAGGGGTGTTCTTTTTTCTACCACAGCAGTTGTTGAGGGTAGAATGAGGAACTGTATATTTTGTCCTCTTTCTTTGTTCGTCATGTTTATAATGAAAGGTCCATGGTTAGATTGCTCGATTAATCACTGTCTTGTAAATAAGTATTAGTTTCAGCTAGGGTATATTTTATAAGTAAAGAGATGTTAATGGGCTTGATGCGATTATGATAGGAACCGTTTGGGTTTTTATCTAAAGGAAGGGAGGCTTGGTGCATTGGTCATGGTGTCATTGCGGGTATTACAAAATTTCGGGCCGGTTGAAACAGTATTTTTTAGTAAAATGGTTCTCATTAACGGTAAATGAAATTCATTGAAACGCTGAGTGGGGTACTTTTGAATTGTTTTGTTTGATTGATTGATTGATTGATTGATTGCTTTTATTTCATTTCATATAATAATTGTTTGCACAATAAAGAACATAGTTGACAAAGTAAGATCAAAATTACGAAATAAAACAGGAACCTACTGGAAAGCATAGCTTGTTTTTTTAGGTTCCCAAGAATAAACATAATATGAACATTATTTTCATAAATCATTTTAAAGTGTCTTAATAATCACAGTAAAATAGATTTAATAATTATAATAACATATTTTCATAAACCATTTTAAAGTATCTAAATAATCAAAATATATACAAAAAGAAAAGAATGACAAAACGGGACACAAAGGACAGGAAACTGACATAATAAGATAAGACAAGACATGACATAAACAATTCATAACAGGACAAGATAAACAAACATGACAGGACAAGACCAAAAAAAAAGACATGACGGGACAAAACAAAACAAAAACAAAGCTGCACACAACATACTAGAGGTAGATTTTCTTTCATTGCAGCGGACATAAAGATGTTAAAGAGGTTGAAAATCGTCCTTAAATATTTCTTTGGAACTATATATTTTGTATAAAAGTGACTGTTGAGTGTTACCCCAAACCAGGACTACAATAGCTTAAATAAGGTTAAATGAGACTTGCAGAAAGCATAAAAAGGGTGGAAGAGGGAAGGTAGAATTCAAGTTTATCAATCACACCAACGTTACGTGAGATTGTTTTGCACATTATAATTAACATGATTTTTCCATGTGACTTTTTTGTCTACATGGACATCAAGAAATTTAGTACAAGAGACTTCTTCAAGAGGAATACCGTCTAAAGTTATGTCGCCGGGCAAGGGCTTTATTGATTTACTAAATATCATAAATTTGGTCTTTGTTAAGTTAAGAGATTTTTTAAAGCTTTTATCCACTGTGTAACTTGTTTAAGTTATTCGGTTAGGGTGTTCAACAAGGTTACGGGATCTGGGTGTGAAAAGAATAAATTTGTATAATCCGCGAACAGAATTAAGATAATAAATTTGAAGATGTAGAAAGAAAAAAAATGTATATTATGAATAACAATGGCCCTAGCAGGCTACCTTGTGGAACACAACATTCTATTTCTTGCAATTGTGAATTAGTCTCTTTTAAAGAAACAAATTGTCTTTATCATAAGAGTTATCGACATTGACATTGGCCCACTTAATTTTTGAGATTTTAGAACTCTTTTCAGATGACTTGTTCATTGCACTTTTAATAATTTTCTAAGTATTTTTCATATCATACTTGTATCGATTCAATTAATTAGTTTAACATTTTTTGTTAGTATACGTAATATTTTTATAAGAGTAATCTTATACTTGAAATATTTCAATTTTGGATTGTTCAGTAGGTTTAGATTATAATTTATAAAACAAGTTATTTTTGTCTTAAATTAGATTTATTTATTCGGGGAATCCTTGGATTTCTTTTGTAACCATTTTTCCCTTTCGCACTGGAATCTGAGCATTCAATTTGAAATCAATTATATTCATAAAGTTTTGACTGATGAGTTAGCGTTTTTCATTTTATATACAAAAGACCAATCAGTTTCTTTAGGTGGGTTCATTAATGATACGTCTTTTAACTTTTTTTTCAAATGAGACTGAATCAGTTTAGAATTGCATCCTTTAAATAAGTTAGTGGATTATATTCTCTTTTGAATTAGAATGAATGCTTGTTATAGGCTATAGTGCACAAGTGACTTACTTTGTTGATCTTTCGATATTCCTGCATTGACTCGATGTACACATTATTGCACACACTATGTAAATGCAGCTGCATTTGTGAACAATTTGAATAAAAATTTCACCCGAACAAGCGTTATTCGTATCTTTTAATAGTTTATTTAGTATTTGAATCCACAGTTGATTAGCGAAAATGTTAAAGTGACTCCAGTGATAATTTATTAATTACTTCTGTCATTCAAATCAATTATGATCATAAAATTTTATTCAAGTCTTGTAAAAGAATCGGTCTCTCATTGCTTTTAATAAAACGTCAGTAGGGGAATATTGATTATTTTGTGAACATAAATTAAAATGTCACAGCGTTTATTCTTACTTGCATCTCACGGTGTACAAGTGAAATGAAACTTGTGATAAGGAAATTATAGTCCTATAATTCTTTTGGCATTAAAAACCTTGCAAGCCAGCGAAACGAACGAGCAGCAGATTTAAGACCTTTCTTTCAGACTGACGGCCACAAATGGTATTCTAATGAAAGTAATGATAGTAATGATAGATAATGATTATAATGTGTATTTTTGTTATCATTATTAATTTAATTTTCCCCTAGTCATCACTCTTAACGGATAATACTTTCCATGATATAATATTGTTATACACAAAAAGACAATATTGCTACCCGAATCATGCCCGAGTAGGGAAAGTGCAGAATCCACGGGAGGGGACTCCTGGGGAATGTTTCACAAAGATTAAGAACGACTTTAAGTTGGACTTAACTATGGCAGGCCATTCATGCCACTGTTTGCTCTCACCACTATGAACTTTGGATAATAATTTTTTTTTAATAATGAATTATCAAAATATGTAAATTCAGTAGATTTGTGAACATGATTACGTCCCTTGATAGACCATTGCCTGTGAATGGCGAGAGCAAACAGTGGCATTAACGGCCTGTCATAGTTAAGTCCAACTTCTAGTTGATCTAATAGTCTTTGTGAAACAGCCCCCAGGCCTCCTTCATCCCTTTGCCCCACCCCGCCGCTCTGAAATCCATAATGCGAACGCATTAATTGTGACGTATAGTTGTTACAGTGCGCATGTCAGAAGTGTATAACGCTGTGACGTAACAATTACGTCTTTCACGCAATGCCGCTGCCTTGTCCGCGCGCACTCATAAGTTGATCAAGGCAAGCGCTGATTGGCTGAAAGTTCACCGTTTGGACGTTGCTATGAGATCGGAAACCAAGGTGAAAAGTACGTCAAGTGTAGATCGAACTCGATCACAGAAGAAACAAAGACATTTATACACACGAGCATTCAACAACTATGGTAAGCATCTGTTCTTCACAATTAAACAGTAATTTGTGCTATCCCGATACTAGATATAAATTATGTCGATTGACCGTTTAAGGAAAACATATGGATCAAACATAGGCTAGATAAAGGTTTCTTTGAAAAACGGTATTTTGACCGCT